TCAAAGGAACTTTGACAACGGTGCTAAGATAATTCAGTGTCAAAAGGCCAGTCTTTTCAACAAATAGTGCTAGAGAACTAGATATACGAAAGAATGGAGTTTGACTCATATATAGTTATATAAAATTTAACTCAAAGTGGATCAAATCTCTACCTTTCACTTGGAGTATTTTAATCTATTTAAACTTAATGTAATTGCTGATAAGGTACAATTTATGTCTGCCTAACTTAAAAAGTCTTTTACCATTCTCAAATGTGTGTTTCATTTCATTTAGATAGTTAGTACTTCTATACCATCAAATTCATTAATCTTTTATTATTTCATACCTAATGTGCTTGTTGAGGCCATCTAAGCTATTTTTCATCTCAGACATTATATTTTTCAGCCCTAGAAGTTTAATTTGGGCCTTTAAAAAAACTGTGTTAAGTCTCTACTCATGTAAGAGAAATTTAACACAATAACATTTAGTGTCTTGATCTATTTCTAATTTTTATGTCGTTCTAATTTTTTTGTTTTATTTTTAGTGGTACTGGGGATTCAACCAAAGGCCCTTGCACCAATTACATCCCTACAGTTTTTTTTTTTAACATATTTTCAATAATCACTAAGTTCCTTAGGCTGGGCTCAAATTTTTGATCTTCCTGCTTTGGTTGTCAGAATGCTAAAATTACAGGTATACACCTCCATGCCTAATTCTGATTTTGTTTTGATTAATGAACTATTCTTCTCATGATAAGTCAGACTTTCTTGCTTTTTGTCATGCCTGCTGATATTTGTTTGGATGTCAGACATGGTGGCTGCTATCTTTTGAGAACTGAGTATTTTGTATTTATTTAAATGTTTCCTTGAGTTTTGTAACAGGACAGAATCAAATACCTTAGAAACAGTTTGATCAACTTTTGTGAGAGCCATCAAAAATTTGTTATTTTCTCATTTTATTTTCAATACTGGAGATAGAACCCAGGGACTGGTGCATAGTAGGGAAGTGCTCTACCACCAAACTATAGTCTCAGCCTTATTTTCCTAGTCCTGAACGGTTTCTTCACTTGCATGTGTAAATCAGTAATATAAATGCTTGTCTTAGGGGCCAGGGATATAGCTCAGAGGCATAAGTGCCTGCCTGGCAAACACAAGGTCCTGAGTTTGATTCCCAGTACCAAAACTAAATATGCAAGTAAATAAACATTTGTCTTCATGATACAACATAGCCTGATAGTACTATAGTTAGTACTGTAAATAGCAATAATGCCAATGGGAAATTCCGCAGTATCCAGAGCTTTCTCTGTGCAGTTCTCTTCTCTTTAATACTTTGTCCTGAGAACTCAGCTTCCTTAGTCTCCCTAGACTTTCAGTTCCATCTTCTTTACCCAAGGAGTCTGAAGAACTCTGCTTGGGTTTCCCCTCTCCGCACTATAACCTAAAAACTGATTCAAGAAAGTAAACTGTGATAATCATAGGATCACCTCATTGTCCCCTATCTCTCAGGAACCACTGTCACTCATTGCCTCATATCTAAAGTCTTGAAAATCATTATTTCATGTATTTTATCTGTTGTTTCCTGGATGTTCCATGTAGAGGGTAATAGGCAGTTAGTGTTGTATCCTATTTTTACCAGAAACAGAAATCTTTCCCTAGGTTTCCTAATGGTTCTCATGGGCTCTAAATGGTTCTAAATTTTTCTAAGTCAACAGGAGTACCAAGTGGCATCATTGTAATGAGATGTAATAGGAAAACATGAAATACTGAATACTCTGAAATATTCTTTACAAAAATATTTAAGCTGATTCTGAGGCCTGGGCCCGGGTAGCCCTCACATAATCCACCGTGGAGAGCAGTTCTCCAATCCTTGAACTCCTCCTGTCTCCAGAGTTCCTATATCCACTTCCGTTTTCTTTACATTAATCTTTGAAAGAGTTCACATTATTCCTTTAAGGAAAAACAGGCACATAGATGAGGGCAATATTTAAGCTGAATCCAGACCTAACAGGAAGAAGATAATTTTTTCCATTGGTTTGTGAATTTCTAATATACTGTTATCCTCAGACAGAGAAGACATGGCCTCAAAGCAAGGGCAAGATCAGGATCCTTAATTGGATTATACCTCAATGACATACTAGATAGAGTTCAGCTAGCTCAACATTAGAACCTATGTAAGGTTTACAGTCAAATAAGCAGAAAAATAGAAGTGAAAATAATATTCTAACATGTAAAGATTATGATAGCTAGAAATTCCTTATGGAAATGGGATTTTTTTTCATTACCTATCAAAATTAGGTTTGAACAGGGACGGGATGGAGCCTTTGAAGAAGGATCAAGTGTCAGAGATTGTGTCAGGTTTCTTGAAACATGGCTTTCCCAAAGTACATCACAATTATTTGTGATTCAAATGCATAGTCATACGCCTCATTTCAGAGTTTTTAAATGACAATCTATAATGGTGGAGTCTAAGAACCTGGACTTTTAATAAATACTCTTGGTAATTCTTACACACATTAATGCTTGAGAATAACTATAGAGGATAGCAGTTTCACTACTGGGGTACCAAAAAGAAATCTAAATATATGGGCAAGGTATGGTGCCAAGCAGCCTGGCAGTAAGCAAGAGGTTCATGCTAGTTATTAGAAGGATGAGAGGAAGATCTCACAATATCAATAGACAGAAGCCCAAAACTGAAGAAATGTTTTAGGGGTCAGGTGTTGGTAATAGGCAAGGTCTAACCTGACAAATGATGAACATCACCCATGTAACAACCTGCAGTAAGGATCTAATCATGCAGACTTTGCTTTAGGGACTGGATTTTCATCTCCATTACATTTAAGAAATCAAGGTAGAACTACTATACCGAAATGGTTAGAGAAAGATACAGAGAATCTTACAGAGATCAATCACTGGAACCAATCACAAGGACCAGAGACTACTCCTGAGGGAGACATAACCCTAAGAGGGACCAGCACAGACACAAAAATAACATAATACTCAACTATTTGGATTTTCCTTGCTCATCCTGACCTGGGTTAGTCTAGATTCTGTGATAAGGGTTAGCCTGCCCAAGGGAGCTAAATGGCCAGTTGAAAGGACTTGAAAAGCCCTATCTGACTCAACTTCCCACCTCCTACTTGAATTCTCTTTCAGATACAGGCCTCTGAATGCCCTTGTACTGGGGGTTTTTCTCAGTAGTTACAATGATGACAGCTAGATGCAAAAGAAGCTCATTCCTAAATAGAGTAACTCTCTGTGGAGAGGAAGGTGCAGCAGGATTCTGGAGTCAATAGCACCCTTAAGAAATTATGAAATGCATAGCTTAGTCACTCTAGGGTAGAGTCAGGTGTTTTCTGCATAATTCTACTTTTCTTAAAATAGATGGCACTTTTGTAGTGAAGGAAAACTTGAATTTTTGTAGGTATGCATTTTATTTTAATTTAAATATAAATGAACATTTATGAGTCAGTTTTTTAATGTAAAGCAAACATGGTTGTTATTATCATCATCATTATTATTAATATATTAGGTTTTCTTATTGGAGTCCCAAAATGTTTTGTTGTTTTTGTTTGTTTTGCTTTGTTTTGCAGCACTGGGGACTGAACTCATGACCTCACACTTGCCAGGCAGGCGCTTATGCCACTGACTGCGCTAAATCCCCAGCCCTCCAAAGTATTTTTGCTTGTTTGTTTTTGGTAGGGAGTGATTTGTTTGGTTGCTTGTTTTTGCAGTACTGGGAATTGAACCCAGAGCCTTCAGTACACAATGAACTACATTCCCAACCCTTGTTATTTTTAATTTTTTATCTTGACACTTGCTAAGTTGCCCAAGGGGGGACACTTGTGATCCTCCTGCCTCAGCCTGTAGAGTGTTAGGATTATAGGTATGCGCTAACTTGCCAGTGTGGAGTCCCAGCATTATCTCTAACATAATTATATCCAAAACAGATTTCTAAAATTCCTAAAAAACCTTAATGTGTGACTCACTATTGGATAAATCCATGAATCCTTGGAGGACAGCTTGTCAGCAAATGGACAAGGAACAACTAGTAATCACTAAATGTGAACAATAAGGGGAACTGTTAGAGTGAGTGCCACAGAAAATCACAAGAAAAACAGTACAACATAGATCTAGCAGAAGCTGCTTGGTAAAAGTGAACCCCTGAGTGGGCTCTCCTGGCCCCTTAGTTAGTCGTCACTGGCTGTATTCCTCTGGGATCTATGTAAGTTCCTGGACTATCCTTTCTCAGTTCCCTGGGGTGTTTCCTACTCACCCCATTCATCCACAAAGAAGTATTTTAAAAATCAACTGGTTGGTGACTATAAGCCATTATCTGCCACTATGTGCTTAAAGGAGTATGAAGCAATCTGGAGAATGCCTTGTATGACAGATTTTTAAAATTCCAGTATTACCAGGTATAGTGATACTTTTTTGTTGTTGTACTTGGAATTGAACCCAGGGCCTCACACTTGCCAGGCAGGTGCTCTGCTGCTGAGCCACATCACTGGCCCAGGAGTGTCACTTCTAAGTTGGAGAGTCAGGTCACAGTCTTTTCATAATAATGACTTATGTTTACAAAGGTGTCATTTTTCTCAAGCAAATGTGTGAGAGATGCTTTCTTGACTTAAAGGGTGGAAAAAAGTACAGGGAATCATTTCAACAGCAGAACAGATATCCTTAGATTCAAGGATTAGATAACAGATTTTAACACTCTCTTTGTCCTCTGGAGGGGCTCCTACCCACTAAAACTCTGCCTTCTACAGCCTTTGCTACTCTCCAAGTTCTCTGTCACCTCAACGCAAATTGAGAATTACAGAGACAGAATAAAAAAGGTGTCTAAAATCCAACTGATTGATTGAGGAGTCTGTAGTCTGAAAAGTAAATTAACTCTCCCAAAGTTGGTTGAACAAAGACGAGAAGTCCTTCTCTTCATTCTGACCCAATGTTTCACTCTGTTAACTTTTGTTTTGAAAATTACTTTCATTTTTGATTTGTCCAAACCTATGGAAACTGAAGCTTACCAATGTCTTCCTTTAATTGTTGCATATCATCTACTCCCAACTTCTGGTTGCCACTCTTACGAAGGAGGGAATGCTGTAAAATAAGAAAGATATTCTAAAAAATATGTACTATGAAGATAATCAATTTTATTTTAAGAGCTAGAAATAATTTGTTGGAATGGATGCCATTGGACCATGAATTCCTTCAATAAAAATTTACGATGCTCAATAATGTCTGATAAAGGGAAGGGAAGATTAATGAAACAAAACTCACTACCATATGAATTACATAACAGGTCTCAGAGTTATTTAAAAGAGTATCTTAGATATAATCTTTGAGCCTAAGACCCAAGGGAAGTGGCATGATGTACAAAAACGTCACTGCCTTTGAATAAAAGCATCCATCCTGATTAAACATCTTGTGAACTGGGTAATCATGGGCAAATCATTTGAACTTCTCTAAGCTTAATTTCATGATGCATGAATAAAAATAGAAATCTTGGTTATTTCAAAGAGCTGTTGTTATAAGGACCAAGTCAAATAACATATGAGAAATTGTTATAGTTCAAAGGTCAGTGACTCTATGTATCATGAAGGCAGGGAACCACGTGTGTTGTATTGAACAATGTATCCTTGGCAGCTAACACCATGTCTGGCACATAGTAAGCACATAATATTCAATAAATTAAGGTAATTGTGGGAAAATATCCTTCTTGTTACTATTTTATTGCTGGGGAAATATTTATAGAAGGATAAAGCCAAGTGCATGAGTACAGCAAAGCCCGGAGAAAGAGAAAGAGAAAGAAAAAAATGGCCGGCATCTTTCCTTCCTCAGAACAGAAGCAGAGGTGGTAGAATTAAAGAAAAGATGATAAAAATTACCAAAACTGATTTTTCTTTCACAGCCCCATTCATTCAAGCTTTCAAGCCTTCTGTTGATATTAGTCTGCCTTTAGGCATCAATGTCATTAGTTTGAGCCATCTAAAAGTCATTTCATTTATTTTTTTTAGTGAGATGTATATATATCCTTTATTTGGTCATAAGAAATAATTTTATCTCTCTAAAGTCTATAGTGACCAGGGGGGAAGTCAGTGAACTTCAGGGACAGCTTAAGAGAAAAACAGTTTTTTTTGCTTTTTTTTTTTTTTCTCCAAAATGTAAATGATCGCAGCCAAAATCCTATGGGATAGGTGTCAGGTTAAAAATGTATCTCTCTCTGAATTGTCCTTTTCCAATTTAATAGATGTTTTCCATCAGACACGTAAGAATTCCATCAAAATGTTTTTCTCTGCCATAGAGGTCAGGGTTTTGTAGGCTTTTGGGGAATAGATAAAATGCCTAAATGTCAGCTAAACAGAAGAACCATGTTACCACACTGGAACACCATGTTCTTGATACTTGGCAGACTTTGGGAATATCCCAAACCACGTGTATTTTGGAGGATGCAGACAAGCCACCAACTTAAGTCAGTCTAGTTTAGCCAAATATCCTCAACCTACTTCTAAGTTTCAGATAATTGATAATCTTCCCCTTCCTTGGTCACATTTATCACAGTTAAAATGGTTTTAACTGAATTCAGATAAAATGCATCTGAGTTTTGCTTTCACAAATATAACTGACAGGAACAAAAAGAGTTCTATCTGTGAGGAGCAATGTGGTAATAAGACATTGGACCTTGAAGCTCACAGAAGACTAATGAGATAATGTCTAAAATGTGTTTGAGGTGCATGTGTGAAAAGGCTCTGTTGAGACAGAAAATATGATAAACAATGCAAGAAATCCTTGTGTCAGGAAATATGCATTTTTCAGAACAAAATTATTAAGTAATACTTTACAAATACAAATATGTTAATCTTCTCTGCCAACTTCAGCTTAGGTCGACTGAAAAGTATTTGTAATTATTCCCATCATAATAAATAAGACTATCAGCTTCTGCTAAAGGATTTCCCAAGCAAATTCAAACTTAAACATAAAACCATGACTGTTAGGTAATGTCTTTGTATCAAGCCAAGTTTCCTACTTGAAGCACAGCTCTTGGTCAATCTTATTATCAAAGTGAAATCCCTCTCCAACTTTCCACTCTATTCAAACCAAATGCATCCCTGTGGGATTTCCTTGCTATCACAAATTGACAAAAATTGCAAATCATATCCTCTTTGGGTTCATGAACCATCATAGTACACTCAATAGAGAATGTCAACAGTGACCATATTTGGACTTTAGAAATTGAAGAGCTCAAATCAATTATCTACTAGACTTATTATCTACTAGATTTATTATGCTCCTTCATTTAAAAGTATAACAGGGCTGGGGATTTAGCTCAGCAGCATAAGCGCCTGCCTTGCAAGCAGGCAGTCATGAGTTCGATCGCCGGTACTGATAAAAAGGAAAAAGACAAAAAAAAAGTATAAAAAATCATTTCTTCCCATGGCATTTCTTCTCCCTAGCAATTATAAGTAACAAAACTAATTTATCTTCATCACTTCTAAAAAATAACAAATGGGACATGACATTTTGCAAAGAATTTCCTAATAGAATATTGTCATGTGCTCTTCTCATGAATTCTTATAGGTCAATAATTCTCCTATGAGTTTGTTCAAAATCAGTAGGAATTCATTTTTCAGACCTTTACTTGAAGACAAACCACCACTTTTTTATTATAAAGAGGGTAAGATTAAACAGAACAAAACAGATCATAAGGGAACAATTTTAAGAAACATGGATTTCAAAGCAAGTCCACTGGAGAACTTCACTGTCTATCTTATCATGTCTAGTTTTCTCCCAAATAGTTGTCCCCATCTTCACACACAGTGAATACATACTGAACATTATAGAACTAATCTAATCATAATAGGATGATGAAAGTTTTTTAGGTCTTCGAGACCTGACATTGGGGAAGTCAATAATGACTGCCATAATGTCTCTCATTCTCTTCATAGTAGCTGTCCTTACCCTTATGTATGCTGAAATTGAACATAAGAGACTAGACTAATATCACTCTGAATAATAGTATTGCTGGATTTTATATCATAATGTTACAGAATTAGCACTGGGTTTCTTAGTGTCTCTTCTTCTTCAGAGTATCTGTTCATTACGTCATGCATTATATAATCTGTTCCCGTAAACTGTTTAGAAATTCTCCCCATGTGTGAATCTCTACATGTGTATTTATCCTTTCTGTATTATAGGGAAAAACAGGTTATAACAAGACAGCAAAACAAATTCCTAGAAAAACATGAAATAAAAAAAGACATATAAAACCACAATATTAGGTGATCTATAGTAGTTATTATGCTTTTTCTTGTTATTTTCAATAAAATTGTCCACATCATCAGACATACTATAATTGAACATGGCATTACATAGCTATTTTAATAAAAACACAACTTTGGAGACATTGTAGAACTTCAAAAGCAATTAATAATCAAACAGGAATGGGTATCTTATTACATCTTGTCATCTTCAGAGTAGTTGCCTCTGCTCTTAGACTCAATACGATCAAGCATACCAAGTTCGAATAAAATCAGTCAAGGTAAAACAGTGGTCTTAACAAACAAGGTTCAAATAAGATCAGTCATAGTAAGACACTGTTAGTAATACAAGGCTTCAGTTTAATAGGAAATTAAGAATAGCTAATAGGAAATTAAGGATAGATGTGCCCTCAAATCTAGTATGAGTAGACAGACCAGAACAAAATAAAATCAAACTAAACAGCAATACTGTGGCTTTTAAATCCACTATTAACAATGTCATCTGCCTTCCTTTTTTAGGCAATTCCTCACCTTTCCCTTTCTTAGGATGCTTTGTATATTTTGGGTCCCACTAGATCCTCTAGTTTTAGATTTCTGAGTGGTGTTGAACCTTTTTGCCACTGAGCTTGATCTTGAGCTGTACTCCTTTACTTGCTAAAGCCACAAGGTTTTCCTTCCTTCTAGCTGTGTAGTCCTACACTGCACAAAAGTGTCATAACTTTTCAGCCTGTTTACAGCCGCTGGACGAGCTGTCCCTATTTCTCTCTGGTTCCCTGTCACATAGAGCATCATTTTCTCATCTTTGACTTTCAGTTAATTAACCCTCTTTCAGGTTGAGTATATTTCCTATTCAGAGCATCTCTATGGATCCTTCTCCTAATCTACTCTGCCTGTTTCTTTTTGTTAGTGTATCAGGGCTATCTATATTAAAGATTATAGCCTATCTTCTCTGCCTCATCTCTGCTATTCTATTTTTCTGTTATTATTTGTCCACTTTTTGCCTTCATTGCACTGTCTGCCCCATTCATTGAGGCCTCTCTGTAACTGTTGCTGGAATCTTAGTATTTTTTCTGTCTAGAATGTTCTTCAGTATTTTATATAGGATTGGGTTGGTGGCCATGAACTCCCATAGTTCCTCCTTGTTTTGAAAACATCTTATTTCTCCATTAATTTTGAGAGAGAGTTTTTCAGGGTACATCAATCTGGGTTGAAGGTTATTTTCTTTCAGGGCTTCAACTCTTTTGCCAGGCTTTTCTCAATGTGATAGTTTGTATTGATAAGTCTGTCGTTATTTTGATGATTTTTCCTTTGTAGGTAATCTGTTTCTTTTCTATGGCCACTTTTAATATTCTGTTCTTGTGATGGATTTCTGGGATATTGATTATTATATGTCTGGGTGTAGATCTGTTTTGGTTGTAGTTGGCTAGAGTTCTGTATGCCTCATTTATCTGGATATCATTTCTTTTTCCTGTGCTTGGGAAGTTTTGCTTAATTATATCTGTGAATAGTCTTTGTAACTCATTTGTGGTTACTCCTGCTTCTTCACTCACATTTTTATTTTTAAGTTATAGATCCTCTTGTCATCTTTTAGCCTTTGAATTGTTACTTCCTGGTTCCTTGTTATTTTTAAGAGGTCTTTTCTTTCACGATCACACATTGTAAATCTCTCTTCAAGTTTCAATAGGCTAGCTTTAGTTTCTGTCAAGACATTTTGCCAGCTTTCAATGGAGTTTTAGTTTCCTAGTAATCTCTTTGGATCTGTTTGTGTATTCTAGATTTTGTTTATATTCTTCACCAAAGGTTTCTCTTTCTTTTCTGGGTTCCTCCATTCTTCCATCTGTG